TAAGTTCATTAATTGACTGTGACGTAGTTACAATTTCAACGAAACACTCCGGTTCTATTGGGCCTAACAAATCCCTTAAAACGGGAAAATTCTCTTCAGCTCAAGCTAGTGTTAAATGGAAATTTGTTACTGATGCACCGGATATCTTTGGAGTATTTTTGTCACCATCAAGGTTTTGTTTTCACGCGTGCCGATAGCAATTTGTTCGTCGCGCAACTAATTATGCGTGAAATAAACTCGAGTCGGCATCATGTTTTAGTGCCGCTTTGCGGCACTCTTAATACAATAAAATTCATTTGAGAGGTGGAAACGCATGTTGGTGATAATTTTTTTCAATTCAACTACCACTAGATTTTAAAATTGTCACATAACTCGCACCTCCCTATTACCCGCAGTGGCGCGCGTTTAATGCAAAATCAACAGATTACCCGCGGGTTAACGACCGGAAATTACGGTATATGCCGCCGCGGCCAACAGTGGGAAAAGTTTATCCGTAAGACTAAGGAACTTGAGAGGCCGCTTGGCTTTTCCTCAAGAATTTTTCCAGAAGTGGCGGTTAAGCCGAGATCAGAGAGGAATCGAGGGAGGACTTGTTGCGATATTAATGCAAGCGATTCTGCCTTCTGTGGTCAGTCCTCTCTGGGCTATTTTTATCTGAAGGCAGAACTTATCCACTTTGTCCTTTTTGTTTACCTGGTTGCCTCATAGGTAGTGGGTCCTGTTTAGGCTGTTGTCATTTGAAAACAGAGCTTTTTTTTCACCGGTTATGTCTTTAATAGTCAGTTCTATCTGAGCAGTTATAATCTGAAGATAGAACGTTTTTGTTTTAAACCCTGCGGTTTTTCTTAGGTAGGCTAAAGAGTCGGGCAAAAAAAGCTCAGTGTTAGAGCACCAGACCAGACGAAATCTGAAGTACTTGAAGAGGTCGAAGAGTGACTAAGTGATAGAGAATCTTTTGAGTGGGCTCCATTCACATGCATGCAACAAGCAAAACAAAACAGATCACCATGAGAAGAAAGTTATTTTGAACACTAAAAATTTAATGAACGACACTCTAACATTAAAACTGCAGCTGGGGAACTTGAAAGCTTTCCCGTCCAACTGCTGCAGTCATTAGAAAATTTGAATAAATACGGCTCCCACGATTGTTTTGCTCACTTCCTATCAGAAAGATCACACCAACGTAACCGCAAGGAACACCTGCTCACTCCATATGCTAGTTGGTTACAGCATGCACCACTCTGTAAAATCCTCACTCTACTGAGTGAGCGCACACGCGAGTGGGAACCAAGGATGCAGAAGCTAGAGGGCAAACGTGTCCCACTGCTGTGGCCCCCGAGTTTAGATCGCAAAGTCGAAGTTCCGTGAGGGTGGATTTCTAAGTTAGAAATTGTACTTGTTCCGAGGGTCTTTTCTCGCCTTTTCTTACCTCCACAGGAAACGCTCCTCCCTGTTGTATCTCAGTGAAGTAAGTGAACAAAAAGAAACTTCATGGATTCGCCACTGCTGAATTCTTTAACCCTGTCCACCCTAACCGAAGTAATGATATTTTCCATACTCTTCTCTATACATTTCATCTTAGTACTGACAAGGAGAATTCGTTCAACAATCAAAGCTTATTAGGTTGTCAATCACTTCCTTTATTCTCATGACCTTAATTGAACGATTCAGCATCAATACCGTAAGGAGAAACTAGATGCTGGTCACTCTTAGGGTTAAAAGGATTAAAACGGTGAAGTATACAGTTCCATGTTAGCATATGAAATGCGTGATGAAGATGCTTGAATTACAGGACAAAGTTAACCTTGGTAAATTCAAAAATACTTTCCACCTGGCGGTTTACAAAGTAACATTTTGTTACATGCATAAATGGTAAGGTTATTATACGAATTGGTGTTTAAATGACCAAAATTGTCAATTTTCCAAATGGCCTGTTGCTTACTTTTTACAAGACCTTGCGTTAACTAAGATAACCGATTAATATTCAGAATTGGCAAAATGAATACCTTGGAAAAATCACATCTAAAATTAATGACGATTACAAACTCTTCTTCGGTAAAAGTGTGCAAAAATCTTAAAACTGGTTTACTTAAGTTATATGGTTTGTTCAGTTAAATGTTGTTTAACTATCCTATTAACAGGTTATTAATAAAATAGCACGTTTTTTCGTATATACGTAATAAAATAGTCAGTTTGATTTTCTGAAACTTTTTTTGATCTAATGTAAAAAACCACACACAGGTTTTATTGGGGGGGGGAGGGAGAGGAGGGAGGGAGGGAGGGAGGGGGTATCATTTAACCAAAAAAGAATAAATACCCCAAGGATCGCAAGAATCCAAAGCGACTAGCGACTACTGTCTTGGACAACTTACGTATCCCAAGTTGTCTGTGTACGCTTGGTAGTTAAAAGCAATTCTGAGACACTTGTTGGCCAAAGGGAAATGTTCAAGTCTTATGACAAAGGTGTCGTCGTTTTGATACAAAAGGGACCAAAGCGATAACGTCGTAAGTAAACAATGCATGGAATTTCTTTTGTCTCAAATGCTAGTTTCCATATAGCTGTCAGATTCTGAATACGAAGATTCTCTATCGTTATCTTCTCCGTGACTACCTCTCCGTTCAGCGGTTCTTCGCTTTGTTTTAAGTTCTCCCTGCAAGAAACAGGGAAAGAGTGTTTTTAATTGTCATCTTAGCTACCATTATTTTCATCAGTTAAAGGCGGTAATCTGCAAGAAATTTTACTAAGCGTCTTAACAAGCTTACACATATAATCTGCGATTAAAGGCTTAGATGAAAGACAGATAGCCATGTGGACCTGCAAGCTTTTAAAATGGTGGATGTTGCGGCTAAAAGAGCTTTTTTAACTTAAGCAATAATGTTATAAAATGTTGCTTCTGCAGCTGTGATGTTTTGAATTTTAAACATTGCCGTGCTGTGATTTGCAATGCATTTGATGGGAAATTGCGAGCTCTTAAATATGAACACGACGTTACCTTCGGAATTTTTTCCTGAACAACAGTGCGAACTCTTTTTGACACACTGGAATGGGCGCGAAGAATTTTCTCATTGTCTTCGATGCACTCAGCAAAAGTAACTGAGAAATTAAAATAATCCAGTTACTTAAAATCGAGCCTGTAATTTCTCTGGAAAGTTCAACCTGTCTAATGACGAAAAATAGATTTAATACTCGGATAAAGAGGAAGCTCTCTGTTCCGTTTACTTTGCTTCTTGATCCTGTGTTTCTCTACTTTCTGTTCTTTTTTTTCATTGGCTCAGTTTTGTTTTGTCTACTTGCTATTTTGCCCTTTTGGCAGGTTTACAAGCTCTTCGAAACGATAAGCCTCGAGAAATACTCGGAGATAATTTTTTACAACATTAAAAGGCGGGCACTTATTTAAAGGTTATGGAGGGGTACGATTACTTAAGACGTCCGGTTGCGATGTTGCCGAGAAAAAACCAGTCTGAGCTATTAAAGTCACTCTGTCCTTCATCAAAATCTCATAACGCAAACAACAAACAAAACCGACGGCGTCGAACAAAGAGGAAACTATGTGCTTCAAAAACGTTAAAAACGTTAGCCTCACCATTATCTGAACCGAGTTGGTTCCTATTGAGGACCACATCTACTTGGCGTAGTTTACGAAGCGTGTGAAAGACCCTGCTATGGTCCTTATTCCATGGGTATCTAAGAACCACCCACTTCGTTGGGTCCTCCCAACTGACACATCGATCAAAGATCTGTTAATCAAGGCAAAACATTTAAGTATCATCTCGTATTTAAGGTTGTGGTTACTCATGTTACTGAGTACACTAGTAATGAGGTTTAATCGCTTGTCTCAGGATAGCCACTCCTTCAGGCGATGGGGTGGACTCTGCTTTGAGTGGATGTTTTTCAGTTGTTTTGATTGATGCATTTCGAAAGTTTCTCAGCGATCCGCTGTTATACGGCTTTCCTGATCATGGGCATCCATGTTTGTAGAATTTCTTTATAATAAAATTTCTAACTCCTGTCATCATTTATTGGGAACTTAATGTAATTATAATCTCCAACCCACACAAACGTCCCAGGAGAGATGGGAGCGTGCTACGCAACGAACCTCAAAGATGGCTGCTGAGTGACTAGAAATAACGACAAAAGTCGTACAGGAAAAAAACACCTTGAAATACCTTCCTTCCACTCCGAAGAGTCTGATGTAGATATGGGATCACATTATAGTTCCACACATTCACGAACCAACCCTCTGCAACTTTAAAGTCCATTGGACACGAGTAAAACAACGAAGGACCTGGAAAAAGAGATGTCTTTAGGAAATTTATTCGGAACGAAAGACGAACTCAAACCTGAGATTACCTCCACACATACTCACGAAATATGCTGATTTACATAAGAAGAAATTCTTACAAAGTCAGGAGTAAATACCTAATGTAGCGTCGGAATCACAAAAGTCTTCCAGAATTTCATTCAGATGGTACCACACTTTGGACAGCCAATCAAATAACTCTAACAGATCGTCACCTTCAACACTGACCAAAAAAAGAAAATAACGGATCAGTGCAAATTGTCAAGTGACTGTAGAGTTCGGCCAGAAAATAAGTGTAGGGGCACTTACTTGGTTTCCAACTCACTCCAACTGAGTTTACGCCTCAAGAATCTGCTGAGAACACCGCTGTACTGTCTGTCGTTTACCGACACTCGTAGCCACCTGACATGTAGCAGTAGACACTTACAGGTCAGTTTACTAGAAAGAACGAAAACTGGACAGGGAAACAGTTGAGAACGACAGCCACTGACTGATAGAAAAACACTAGCAGACTGATAGACACTGACAGATAAAAAAAACACTAGCAGACTGATAGACACTGACAGATAGACAAACACTAGCAGAATGTCAAAAAAATTGCCAGTCTTCCTCAATGGCAGCCAACTAACCAAATGGTTTCGTCAATCATACTCAGCTACACCCACCTAAAGTAATGACACAGACTCAGCTCTTTTGAAGAGAAAGGTCCTTTTCTGCTTTTGTCTCGAACACCAATTATGTAAGGACTGCAACGAACATGACATAATCATGATAACAAAATTATAAAGTGCAAATCACCACAACAAAACACGTCTCAACGATAGAAAGATCGATAGAAATTGGCGTCAAACAAATTGTCGGCGCAAGTCTTTTTTTTTCGCTCATTTTGTTTGTTCTTTTTTTTTAGTTCGCTCTTCGGACTCGGCGCGGGAAAAGGATTGATCATGGCAAACCATGACCAAGGGGCTTTTGGCAGTACATGTCCCATAATACTACTTACCAATTGCTGTTTTTCTCGAGCTGTGAGAAGTCAAAAGTATCAGCCAGGGAAGCTAAGCAATTTAACTGATCCAGTATTATGACAGCTGGCTTGTCCACATTAGAACTGTTAAAAAGATAACAATTAAAGTTTTTCGTCAAGACGAGGGTCGAAAAAGGAAATCTCTGCAATATCTCGCAAAAATTCCAAGTAAATGAAGTTTTTTCTTGTAATAGTGGAGTCTAACTTTATCGTCCTCAGAAACATCAAAAATTCATAAAAAGCAAGTTAGCTGAAACGAAATTGGGACGGTCCATGTAGCCTGCACTTTCAAAAATGACCACTGAATCGGAGCGCCCGTTAAGCTCACGGCGGTTAACTTTGTTAAATTGTTATTCAACTAAAGAAATCACTAGAGTAACGCCGACCATACACATAGACCCTCAGCTTACTGACTATTGATAAATTTGGATTACCAGGAACAGAACATACCCGGAGATGTCGACCTCCATCAGAGGGGCAAGCCCTTGTTTTAATTCCTAGAAAGACACAGTAATAAGTTGAACGCTGGCTAGTACCATAAGTAAAATCATCTCCTCGCATTAAAATAGGTTAGATAAATCACTTAAAAAAAATTAAATAGAATGGCGGAATGAGAATAGAGAAAATTCAAGAATTCCAAGAAATCCAGAAAGAGGATAAAAAGAAAGAAAGAAAAAAATCAGGTCTGCTTACATTTCGAGTTGTCTGGGTGACATTGAAGGTAACTACAGCGGGGGATGTCTTCCATCCAATCCTACATAAGATGAATAAAACCTTGTCAAAAACTCTCACGGAAATAAAATCAACCCCCTCCCCCCGTCATCACTCTCCGTGCACCCCCCCCTCTCCGTCATCACTCTCCATGCATCAACATGTACAAGTTCATCACTGCTTGTTCACTAGTCGAGTTAAAATGATTCATTCAGGCGAAAACAAATTCATGTTCTTCACATGATAGAGACCTCATACAAAAAAAAAATATTGTGTAAGCCAATAGATAACAGCGTTTGCAGGTTTTTAAGAAAATTCACTTGCCTTTGAACGACATGTTCAGCCAATTTAGAAGCCAAGTATGATTTTCCTAGCCCTTGTTGTCCACACAGGACTATACATCTGTGTTCCAGTAGCTGCTCTACATAATTCTGTGAAAATCAAAGAACTTTCCATCAAACAGAAGTTGCATATTGACACCACATAGTAAGGTCACCATTACCCCTTAAATCTCAAAAGTGATCAAAATGTAACTTCTCCCTATAATATCCATACATCCTCCAGCCAACTGGTAATGAGAATACTACAACTTATTAAGTAAAAGTTGTTATCTTGATCTAACCCCAGCCTCTCAGCTAGCGGAGAGAATTACCAATCAGATCTTGAGAGTTAGCCCTTTACATCCTAACATCAGTATGCATATTCTCCATACTTTCTTTACACATTTCTTAAGGTTCTGAAAAGGAGAATTTGTTAATCAATCGAGAGCTTCTTTAGTTGTTGATCATTTCCCTTATTCTCATGACCCTTATGTTTTATTCATGGGTGATCTTGGGGGTTAAAGAGTAAAATGAATTATAATGGTAACTGTGACAGCTCCCTAAATCTCACCTCCATGATCTCTTTCGGAAGCAGAGTGTCATAAACAAGAGAATCACAAGAGAACTGGCTTCCATCTGTAGGCAGAGCAGTGAATAACAAGGAGATTAGCAACAACTCAAGACTGAAATTAATATCAACAAAGAAGATTCTGTTTTTATATTCAGCAACTATTCAGAGACGTGGAGGTAAATAATGGCAGACATTTACATTGTCGAGAATATTCGCTTTCGTACACACCAAACAGACGCCAAAAAATTAGTTTATTTCTGTTAACATACCAAAACATGGTAGGAAATTAACTCTTGACGCGCAATTTTATCTCTTAAGCTCCTCGAAAGTGAACATTACTCGCTAATCACTTCCGAACTAGCCAATCAGCGCGCAAGAAAAGCACTTTTTACCTATGCGGTACATACCGATCACTGATATCAAACGTTCCGTAGAGTTAAGAGTTTGAAAAAAAAAACCATGGATTTCCAGCAGGATCACAGGCAAAGAACCAACCTGTAAAATTAGGACAGGAAATAATACAACTACTTGCCTTTGAGCTGGATAACACATGGACTGCTTTTGTTCGACAACTCTACTCGAGGAGACCTTCTCCGCTGAGAACCTAAAATAAAATCATATAATTTTCCTTAATCACTATAAAGAATTGACCGAACGGCCAATCGCGCACTCTTTTTGTCGTTGGTTGCTATTAACTATCACCATATGAACTGTGACGTCCCGAAAGAGCTTATATTGAAAATTAACTTTACACCTTACGCGATAGTGCGAGCGGCGCCGTAAAGAGACGTACGGCCCTGAGCGTGGCATGGCGAAAGGCAAGAAGCAAGAAAGAAGGAACAAACAGAGGCGGTCATATAAAAACATGCTTATTCACTAATACCCCTATCACACTTGCGAAACACGTTTAGTTAAATCAGGCTTAACAGAATAAAAATCAGCAACAGAAAATTGATAAACTAAATTTTCCTTAGCTGTCAAGGAGTCACTAGCTTGTCAGTATTTTTAAGTGCTAAATTAGAAGTCAACAAACATTACTTTAAACGGCTTCTAAGAAGAAAACAATTTTAAACCGTATTTAGCGAAACAGTTGTAAAACATGTATAAGCTTTGATAGGAATAAGGTATAAGTTAAGTTGTCATGACCTCGAGCCCAGTATTTCCCCGTCCGGCCCTCCCACTCGGTCAAGGTAAACACACAGTAGCACTAAGAGAAACCTGGGACATCAGTTGTTGACTATCGGGAAAACTACTGTAGGAATTTGTGAGGCAGAAGGAGCAGAAGGAGTTGTTCACTGGCTGTAAGAATTTAGACAATAGAGAAAGAGTTGTTATCATACCTGGACTCCAGACAACAACCCCTGTTTGAACACCTTGGATGCTGTGGGCACCGAGACACAAGTAGTCCTCTGGGTCGATTTTCTTCATGTGATCCTGCAAGCAAAGAGATACTCATTATATTCGTATCTAACAACATAAATTGCATATTAGATTGTCACATTAGCGAAACTAGTTGGATACACGAAGCATAAAAACTAGTTACTTCAGTGACTCGATAAGCAAATGTATCACTACCTCACTGAGGTGTGATCAGTGACGTTGACACCTTAAAATGGCACTTCGATTTATTTTCCTTGTTTTCTGTTTCCTTTTTTCTAGAGATAAATTTGCTTCAACGCTCTTTTTCTATCTTTATCAAATGAAAAAGAAGGTAAACCTAGTGGAGCGACAAACATCGAAATGACCCAGAAATAAAATTTCTTTGCGGCGAAGGTAGAAGAGGTTTGGGGAGAATACCAGTTGTCAGCTGAATTTGAAAATTGAATAAAAATGACCTGTGGAAGATAGGTATGAATTGATTCTCACTTCATATATATATTTACAAACTGAACAAAATTTGATCAGTACATGGCAAAATAGTTCCTGGCAGCTGTAGCCTAACTGTGCTCACTACCACTTACCACAAAGGTTTTCTTAGCAGCTTCCATCACTCCGTTCCAGTCTGCTCCGTTTACTGTCACAGTTCCCAAGTGGATGTCCTTTTTCTTTGTATGTAAAATAGAACATTATATCAAACGAAACTGAACCGAAAAAGAACTAGCCATGAACTATTTTGTTGCAAAAGAGAAAAATAAAAATTTTAAAAAATTCGTGGTTAGTTCATTGAGTATAACTGACAATAAATATGCACCTTGGAGGAAACACGACCAAGAGGGACAGCAGAAAATCCTCTGAGACACACATCTATTTCAACTGGTTCCTCGTCATCTGTATCAACTAGATAAAACATTTTGATCACAATTTTTGATCATAATTTTTATCAGCCTGTGTAAAGCCGCCCCCTTCCCTCAGAAAAAAAGGCATTGGTAAGGAGCCCCTTCATAATGTGTATTTTTTTTGGAAGGTAGGGCGGGGATGCACACAGTTTACATTACTGCCATTGTATCCTTCTACTTATAGAGCACCAACATATTTACTTTCAGTGTGTTTCCTGTTTCAGAGGTTACAGATGATTAAGCATTACACAGTCAACCGACTCGATAAGAAAATCAACTATAACAAACTACTGAACATTTCATAATGCTGGAAATTCAGTGGCTCATCGAAAAAGCGTTATTCACAAATGACTTCAGGAGTTCATGGCCATGTAACTTGAGTTTCCCAAAGAGCATCTTTTGAACATAACTTAAAGTAATCGTGGTTGTCTCGTCTTTAAAATTTCTAGAATCCTCTGAGCTGTGACTTAACCTATATTTAATCTATCGGATTTTAAGATACAAAACCGACTACAGCTCTTTGTGATCATTTTACCTTGCCTGGGTCTGTACAGTCGGCAGATGTTCTCCAGTCTCTCAGATGACTCAGTGCTGCTGTTCTCAGTCGCTTCTCCGGAAGTCTGTTGATTTGCCAAACTAACGACTTGTTCACGTAACATATCATTTTCATCATGAAGCAGTTTGAGCTCTCCCTGCAAATAAATGACAGAGGACAAAAAATACTTGCAAGATCATGTACTCTTTACTATTTGCAATATTATTATTGTCAAGACTTTTGACACAAGACTAGTTACAGAGACAGGGCACTGCAAACATTTTCTGACAAAGCAATCTTGCTAATACCATGCAAATGTTATGAACAGTGAAATCTTTGTTTCGTTCACTAAAAGAAGCTTATTATGAAATTGATATAAATTCAACTATGGACATCCATGAAGCGGATCGTCTTCGGAGCTAATACTAAGTAAACTGTCATTTAGAAATGTTAGTTCTTGCAAAGGAAGAAAACCCAGTAAAGGCAAGGAAAAAATCTTCGAGAAAAGGAAGATAACCAACAACAAAATAAACCTACAAGTGATATCAGGATCGGAAATAAAATTTAGAGCACAGTAGAGGGACACTACACTATTTACGACAAGTCACGTATAAAATAAAATTTCCTTGACTTATTCATGAATACAAAAATGTGACCTACAGCCAAGTCAAACACGCACACCTGTTTGAGATTATCGCCTATTTATTTTAATAACTCTCATCTCTCTTAGAAAGTGCCACTATGGGAATTTTTAATTAGTACAAGGAAAGAAAATTAATTAACAGAATAAATCGCTTTCCCAGCCGAATTAGAAAACAGAACAGTGTACAGGTCATGATCAAAATTTCAAGTAATACATTCAAGTGTCCTGACCAACCTTGATTTCGCTGATTATTCCTTGCAGTTCATCAGCCTGATGTAGGGCGACATAGGCTTCCATGCTTAGACCTCCAGACAGAGCCTACAAAAAGAACACAGATGATAACAAATGAACACGCCATTTAGCATGTGATGGTCCTTCGACCCGTGAAGCTTACAATTTACAATCCAACAAGCATAATCTACATTTAGAAACTAATTCAAGACTTATTTTATCAAGAACATTCGTTACAGAATGCATGGTGAGATCCAACGGTCATGCCAAGAATTAGTGTTGATTATCCACCAGCATGAGTTTAGACTGGCTATGGACCAAGTTAAGGCTTACTGCTTGTTACAATTATGAAATTACGCTTTGGTCAGTTATCCATTTAGAATGCAGTTTGATCTTTCTAGTGTTCCGATCTAATTAGCGGTGCTACATTTTTTAAATTGAATTTAAATAATATTTCCTGCTCGGGCGTTTTCCCAAACCCCCAACTCTCCCTCCTGGCTACTTTTCATTTATTTGAAAATTAGTCAGGAGAATTTATTGTTACGTTAAGATACAAAATTACACCCACCACTTTCTGGATAAAGTGAGGGTCGATCACGTTACGAAGTTTGAGAAGTTGATGCAAACCCGTACTTACTCAATAGCCTCACTAACTAGTGCAAGAAACCCTCAAAAAATTTAATAACTACTAGAGTCAATGAGTTATTCTAGCATGAGGTCAAGCGTTGTCAACAAAGAATAACTGTTTCTCGGTGTGAAAACCGACACTCAAAGAAAGCACTGGGTATATACTGTATATTGCATAATGAATTCTGAAAGTCAAAAAAATCAATCAACACAAATAAAAAATATCGTCAGTTCGCCAAGTAATTTTTTTTAAAATTGTCACATGAGAAGTATAATGTAGCCAAAATTGGATTTAGCTAAAAAAAGAGTTAAGACATCCTTAAGCTCAACAGAGCTGCTAATAAACGCATAACTACTTAATCGTGTGCGACAGAAAATCAATAGGTAAATACAAAGACGATTTGGCTGAGACTCTGGTTTTAATCTTATAATATTACCTTAGCTCCAAGTGAGAACTGCTTTCAGTGAATAAATGCCGAACAGTAAGATGCAAGAACGATAGCTTTGAGCAACAGATTTCTTTGTCTCTGGTAGTCACTGAAAAGAGCTCACAGAGTGTCAAACACTCTGACTCCTTAACCCTTAATTAGCTACAAATTAAGGATAAAGTATCAGTACCGACAGAAATCACAAGGTCAGAGTGGATTAAATCTGGCCTATGCCAATTCTTTTATCTTTTAGAAGGCAACTCATGCAATCAAACAAATAGAAAGCCCGAGTCCATACTGCACATGAAGCCATCTAATCTGTTGAAAATTTGTTTTGGAAAGAAGTGACTTAACAAAGTTTGTCATTTTCTGATTTGAAATGACCTGTCAGCACCATCAAACTCTCCTATTCAACAATTTGCTTGAAATTCACTTAAACTTAAGTCCAATTCTCATCAGCAAAGTTTCACCATTGGATAAAAGAACGAAATGAAAACACTAAATCCAATTTGCCTAAGACATTTAACATCGCAAATTCATCAGTCATTAAGTAATTAGACAAAGGTCTTCCCAAGCAGAAAGCACTTGTATTTCATTTAAGTAACGAAACAAGATCAACACGTAAGGTCAAAATTGTCATGAGCAATAAATGGAAAATCTGGGAATCAATTAGAACTACAGACCAGACTTCAAGCTGTGAAATTGTCTGGTTATCAATTCCCTGGTAAGTTAAATTTGCGTACGTCCTAATTCCGTATCAGAAGTTCTCTGAACGTTGTCTTACAAATTGTAAGTACGACCACTTAATGTGTTGTCAGTAATTCTTTATAAGATTAAACTGAAGCGTTATAGAAAGGCATACCCAACAGGCATACCTAACAGTTACTTCCTACTTTAACAACAAAAAACCTGATTCGGGACTGAAAGTTTGAGATGGACCAGAATAATTAATTAAATGAGGCTGTCGGTGGCTGAGTTTATAAAGCTTGAAAAACCATTCGTTTTTAGTACAGAAACAATCTCCCAAAGGGAAATGAAGAAATCCGAAGAAATCACGCGAACATACCTCAGGGTTTCCCAATCATTTGTTTAAGTGTAATGAAAAGAAAAACGTTTAGATGTAAAAAGTTTGACAAACAAACAAAACAGTTCAAATTCAAGATACTTGTCTAGAAAGGATGACTTTCTTTAAAAAACATAGGATAAGGTCGAGCTTAAAATAACATAAAACAGGTTCCAAGCAATACCTGAATGTATTCGAAGCTGAGGGTCGGAATACACCAAACAGAAAATGTCCAGTTTCTAACCAGATATTTTACCTGCAGCTTCTCACTAGAATTAGAGACAGCTTCCTGAATATGACATTTTTTCAGATGTTTCTGACATGCAGGTCCGATGTCGTTACCTGATTGACAAGTACTTAATATACCTTAATGAAAACTTGGAAACACAAGATCATATTGCAACAATCTGGTAGCTTTTAGAAATTGAAACTTTACAGATATTGCAATTAAACAAGAAGCACAATTTAGACTTAGCCTTAAATACATTGAAATTACTAGTCAAAAATGCATCACAGAGGTAACTAATGTGTTCAGTTATTAATACGCTAAGTGGCTTGTTTTGCGTGACTGCAAAAATAAATCTGCTTATCAAATCCAAGATAAACTATCAAATTAAAATGGATATTTTAAGGACAGAAAAATAAGCACAAACCATCAAGGATTTTAAGGTTAATAAACACATCTATTTAGACTAGAGGCAGATCAAGTGACCAAAACAGAATTTATCCCTAGAATATCAATACAGTATCAAGCAGACAAGTGGTAAGAATAGAGAAAAACATCTATTCTGGGATTATAAGTTGAGTTGATTTCAATGCCAAATTCTCCAAACTAAAATCACAACAATTGTATTGCGAAAAGTTGGGAGAATTACTAATAAGATCTTAAGAGTGAAAGGGTTAAACTAATTTTCCCAATGTAAATCTGCCATCTATTGTGATTTACTCGTGAAATGCAGGAATATTTAACATACACTGAAGGACAATAGACATCCTGAGTGTGTATCTATTTTCAAAGACAACAAAGTGTTTTTTTTTCCTACTGAGAAATCAAACCAGCCTTACAAAAAGCTGCAAGAATCTCTATCAGACCCTAGTTTAAAACCTGATCTCTAAATAAATAAAGCCTATTTAAGTAAAGTTACCACATCCTTAGAACCTTCACCAAAATGATTCATTTGAAAATAAAACCTAACTTGGGAAAACTTTCACTCATAGGTACAAATACATACTTCTCCTGAAACATACTACTCGTGGTGATGCACAACTCAAGGTCTCAAATGCACCCTTAAACCCAGAAATGCCATACAGCTGTAAAACTTTGGTAGGAAATGTGGTCCCATCCCAAGCCACTCTCCTACAGATTTGGTTGCCATTAAAACACTTAAATAATGCTTGCACATTTCCTGATTAAGGATACTTGAACACAGTTTAATTGCTAAGCTAGACCACTAAATCACAATTATTTAACATAAAATAAATCTGGGTAGCTTTGATTACTGGTTCTCAGGTATGCATGGATAACCTGATATTACACAATGTAAGAAAAAAATTGAAAAATAATAAATAAACAAATAGATACATGTACACAGATAAAGAAAAAATAAAGTCTTGTTACCCTTACCTTGTTTTGGGAGCTTGGGGAAACACGCTTCTTAAACCTGTCAATTGCTTTATCCAGGATATCAGAGTCCACAAATTCCAAATTCAGAGATCTACGCACTTCTCCTAGGAGAGCATCTAGGTGAGTCTCATCCTTCTTGTCATCATTATCACTCACGGACAAAAGTTTGTCATTTGGACCACCAAGATTTAGATCAAGAGTCTCTAGATCAGTTCCCACCAATGATATCTCTGGGCAAGGTTCTGTGTCTACAAAGACCACTGTTTCTGTGCTGCCACCAAATTCTCCAAAGCGATCATCATCTGATGAATATGATGATGATGAAGCATCTCCTTGAGATTCCACATCACTAATGGCATGCTTGTCCTCCTTTGTGGAGGTGATCACTGGTTTTTCTGGTTGTGCATCATCAAGTTCATTGAAAATTATTTTACCAACCCCCTCCTCTTTTTGTACACGGTTTGGCAGAGGTTTTGGTGTACTTGTAATGTGCATTCCATGCTTTTTTCTGTAGTCAATGAACACGTCAATACCTTCAGGACTAGCTACTTCATGGCACAGTGTTGCTTGAGTTCTATTCTGGAAGCCCTCAGCTGGTGTAGTTAATTCTAAAATTCCTGAGTTTTCTCCATGGATACTAGCTGATTCTTTTAAATCATTGTCCCCGCGTTCAGCCTCCTTAGCAGTGGCCATGTCCTGCTTTGTATCTGGAGCTGAAAGACTTTGTTTTGCATCAAAGCCTTCATTATCAGCTTGATTTTTATCCTTATGTGAAAATGCTCTGTCCTTCCGTGGCCTTTTCAGGCTGTGAGTGTTAGTCAACTTGCTTTGTGTTTCTATGCTATCTGTTGATTCACTACCCTCAAAAGAAACTCTCAAAACTTTTTCTTCCTTGCATTTCAGTTTCTTGAGTTTATCTTCCCTGTTATCCTGACACTCCACCTCCTCTTCAAAAACCTGTGCTCTTAGTCTCCATTCTCTGAGGCTTTTATGGATATTTTCACTGCTTTCAGAACGCCTCAGTGTCTTTGCTTCTATCACATTGGTACGCCTCTCTCTAGCAGAATGGCCACGCCTCAAGCAGTCGTAGCTCTTAGAAGACCTCGGTGGAACATGACTAGGCTTTTTGAAGCCATTATTGTCATTCTGTTTGCCAGCAGGCCGACTTAAATGCTGCCAGCTGCTTGGTAGACTCTTTGGAGCTTTGTTGAGTCTTTCACATTTATTGTCATTTTGAGGAGATGGGCAGCTATACCTCTGTACAGAAACAGGTCTGCGAGGTACTGTCTCCTTTGGGGTACCCACTTGCATACCAGCTAGGATCTGTAGAAGCTCTTCCACAGACACAGCCTTATCACTCTCCTGAGGTGGGGCTAGCATGTCTGTGTCATTGACATAAGCAGAAGATGATGCAACTGGCTGGAATTGGTCCAGCAATGACAAATTCTGTTCCTGTGACGTTGATAGTGTGGGAGATGCTCTCTTTATTGTTGGTGTCTTGATCTGCAACTCTAGTTCTTGTAACAGCAAGGAAGGTAGCTCTCGTTGAAAGTTCACCAGAGAAGTTTGTGTTGCAACTGAAGGTGGTGGATTCAAAGCTTTGAACACAGCTGGAGGTGGTGTTTGAGTACCCCTATGTCTTCTGAAGAATTGTTCAGCTGTTTCATGCTCAGGAACGGTTTCATCAACACAAGCTGTGTTATTTTTAAATAATCCAGTCTGAATCTCATGAGGTTCCTTGTCCTCTAAAGTTGACTTTGATGACTTCCTCTCAGTAATAGACATCACCACAGATTCAATTTCAGGATCAGGTGACACTGTCTGTGGAGACTGTAAGAGCTTTTTTATGCTCAGTGCTTCAGCTGAAATTAAGCTGTCTTTGTCTTCGCATCGAGTATAAAACTCACTGTAATCTGTATCATCAAACTCAAGTCCTGGTTCTCCACCATCCTTTGGTTCATTTTCACAAACTATTCCTTCAAGTTCTTCGTTCTGAAATTGCCCAGAGATAAATGCCCCTTCTGATATTGGTGCTTGTGAAACTTCAGAAAACCTCTCGGAAAGAGTTTTTCTTCTAGACACCTCAGAATCTGAGCTATGTCCATTTCGTGAAGACTGAGGGCCAAACAGAGCCTCCATTGCACTGACTTTACGTCGAGTCACTGCTTTGACCAAGCCATCATGAATAGTACCATTAGTGTGATGTTGGTAACCCTGTGTCGGGAAGTTTGGCAGCTTGAAGATTTTCTCAACTTCTGAATCACTTGAAGAGCTTGTGTAAGATGAAGCCCGTCGCAGGGTCTCTGGGTGTGACACCTGAGCAGGACTAACAGGTCGAAATAAAGGTGGCTGTTCATCAGTGGCAAACTCAATAGATTGTCTCTTCAGCGCATTAATAGGATCACGACTCCCTAAGGAATGTCTTGCTCTCCTTCGTTGAACCTTAGGGAAAGAGGAGCTTTCATTGTCTGTGAGACAAATGCTGGAATCAAGTGACATACTTTTGGGAATGTGGCCATTACGAAGACCATGTGGTTGATGCCTCAATGGCTGAAATAAAGGTTCGGAATGAACACTGCTGTCATCAGAGGTGTAACCTGAATACTCCAGGTTTGATACACTTACTGTGCGGCGATCAGCCTCCCCAAATTTTCTGTGGGAAACTTTTCTTCCAGTTGAAGGGCTCTGCAATGGTTGCCGAACAGTGCCAACAAATGGGGAGGAAAGACCACTCTCTGAACACCATGATGACCTTGTCAGTTTGGGTGCAGGAACTTGGTAAATTTTGCGCACAAAAGGAGAGTCAACATCAACAGGACTTGGCTCACTAAATGACCACGATCTCCTTTTCAACTCAGAAGTAGTATCACCTTCTTTCCAGTTTGGGAAACCAGCAATTGACCCTGGGCGTCTTTGCGCTTTCTTCTGGTCACAAGACCTTGAACAAATCAACAATTCATGTTTGAGTTCATTCACACGTGGATTTTGTAGCTTTCCACCTGGGCCTGTTCCCAGTTGTTCAATCTGCACAAAATCATGCAAGGACCAAATATTGTCACTGAATTGAATATCATTGCCAGATACTGTGGTTCTTAAAAGATCACTTCCCCTTGCTGGAAATTTTAAACTTTCCATAACATTCCGTTCAGGTGTTGAGGTTGCTGTTGTTGAGAAGGAATGGTCAATTTCATGAACAGCACCATTGTCACCATTATGATCTACATCAGGTACAAACTGTCCTTGAATGTCAACTTTTTCATCTTCACTGACACATTCAAGCCTTGTTTTTTCATTCTCAATGCTATTGTCATGGAATTTTTCATGGACAAAAGAAGAATTCACCGAAGACTGGAAAAAACTGCTCCCATCAATGGCAAATTCTTCTTCTTCAACTAGAGGCACAAACTGCTGTGGTGAATGTACAGCTCCCTGATGTACATTAAAAGATTCACAATCATCATTGTCACTTTCCAAGGAAAATGTCTCACTGTCTGCTAATGGGGCAATATTTTCAGCTTGGTCTTGACAATTAAGAACTAGGTGTGAATCACTGCAACTTTCTGACGTAAAATCTTTGCTTCCAAGAGCACAAGGTGAGTCTTTGACATTTGTAGTCTGTACATTTTTAAAAACTGTGTTTTTAATTGCTCCATCTTTAGCAAATGCTTCAAAAAAGAGAACACGTGTTTCAACAGAGTTTCTCTTTGCACATTCCTGGCTCTCCTCATGCTCTCCATTGACAGCTTTGTACTCACTTTGGCTTTCATTATAGGAGAAACGCTTGGTGACGTCTTTATTTTCGGTAAGAACTCTATCAATGTGATTAAAACTTGAAGGGGGGGCACTGCCACGTCTTATCTTAGGCTTGGGAGGAACAGGTGGTTTCCCTCTCAATTTAATGGCATCGTTTGTTGTCAATGTACCCTCTGGAGACTCACCATAGTAAAGGCAGTAAAAATCACTGGCTCGTCTGGTTTTCTCAAGAACATCAGAAACTCCATCCACACTATCTGTAACTACAGTTTCATTTTCCCCATTTGTGATTATCTCTCCATTCATGGCATTTTCCTTGCCAGCAACATGACTATTTGCACAATTTTCTTCAGTAGCAGTTGACGCAGAAGATGCCACCAATGTAGTACCAGTATCTGCTTGACTTTCTTTATTTGCTGCTTTACACTTTTTTGAAGCTTTTTCCTTCACTGGTGAGGAGCTTATGGACCCATGCGAGCTGTCACTACTGCCATTTCTTTCAATCTCATCATCCAGGAAACACCCAGAGTCTGTTTTACTTTTGCTATCAGGTGCACTTCTTCCACGATTAGGTCGGTGAACTACTCCTGTCTTTTCTTTGCCACTCATGTCAAAAACTTCGCCTCATTCCCATAATGGTGTCACAAAAGCTTGAGGTGTTTCAAGCCGAGACCTGAAATAAAGACGAGAAATTTCTGTTGGTGGAAATGCTACAGGATCATCAATGCTAGCTTGACATCAAAATGTGTTTAAACCTTGATCAGAAATGGCTTCAATAGTTTTGATAATGAAGTTTTTTAACCCAGCACCTGACCTTACATATTAATTTTCTTTCTACTGTCTGAGTTCTAATCCTGATCACAATTTAATCACTGTAAGTTTAATCACTTGTTAAAGATAAATAATGGGTTCAGTGATAAAAATCTCAGTAAGAAAAACCTGACTTCTAGCAAAGACACAGGGAGTGTGTTTTCAATGACAAACTTCACAAGGGTTACATCCAGCAGACAGACTTTGTGATATCAAGAAACAAATTACTCATGAGAGCCATTGAAATTTGAAGCATAACACTTACATGTAAGTTGTTATGAATCCACATTTAAGTGATAGTTTAAAAAAGGAAATTGTTAATCACTACCATCAGTAGAAAACCAAAACTTGTTTTCAACATGTGATAAGGATCCAACCAAAGTCATAATTGCTTTGAATGTTCTAGAACTTCTGAGAATTAGCTTACAAAACCACTACTATGAAGTGAATAGATTAACTTCAAGTCAACAGCATGTACAAAAAAAGTTACCAAGTTTCATCTGATGAAAATATATGTAGATGTGAGGAAATATTGAAGCCTCTCACAAAAATGTAATAGACAGTGTATTTGTCTATGAATAATGGGACAAAACATCCAACCAACAAATATGCTTAGTATTCAAACATGCTTTCCTTGTACAATTTGAAAAATGCCTAACACATGTCCTAAAATACACACTTGATCAAAATCCTTCATGGGAAACACAATAGAAAGTTGTGAAACACACAAAGATGACCAGTTTCAACACAGTTCTATAGTCACGATCTCTACTGGGGCAGTGAAATTAATTACAGGCAAAACATTATCTCACAAGTTTAGATAATAATTGCAACTACTAGACCACATACAACAACAGGAGTTCTCTACGTTTCTTCTTACCAAACAAAGCAAATAACTTCAAACCAAAGCTTACACAAAATCTGTCTTAGAAACCAAGTTGGGGGTAAAGCTCACTGTAACTGCAAACAAGTTTTGTCTGTCAACATTTGAAACTAAATACTGCCATAAATGCTTCATTAAACAAACAGCCACAGTCAACTAAAGGAATTCACAAAATGTCATTTACATAATAAAAATATAGTGTAATTGCTTCATTATATGCATGACATGAATACTCAATATCTTCATGTATGAATACAAATTTGAAACAAAATGAGTAAGTCTTTCAATTTGCACAAAGATAAAAAGGATATAAGTTACACTGTTACTGTACATGGAAAATTGGGTCCAAACAGAGATCATGGCCTTACACTGTTTATTGCAAAAGGATAATTAAGAAATTTACTGGACAAGAAATACACTAATTGATAAGGAGATGAGATGCTAGTTTAGCATGAGTAGTTGACTTTGTTTTGGATATCAGACAACACACAAAGGTATAGTTAATAACTATACCAACAAATTACTGAATTTCAACTCAATAAATTGTAATAGACAAATGAATTTTTCGTATTACTGAAAAGTTATTCTGATGTTCCACATTTCGACAAAATACATACTGTGCATACTGTAGCTCCAGTTACAGTGATCTCACTTAGTACCAATGTCTAAAGAAATCTGTAATATTTCAAGCATTCTTTGTTTTGTTCTTGACTGTCCCATAACAGCTCCTTTTCAACGTCAGTTTGTCATGATTTCTCGACACAATAAAGTTGTACTTAACAGCTAGTAGACAATTTAAGACAATTTCCACTTCAAACCAAACATTAAAAGATAAGACCATGTGGTTTAACTTTAATTTAAATATACCCAATATGACCTGAAATGGACTGAAATGTTACCAATTTAACTATGTGTTGAGCACAAAAATGGATTTTAAACAGAGCACTTCCTGAATATTATCTGAAGTGATAACAAAACCCACAGACATACCAAAAATGCATAAAAATTATCACCCCATGGTACATACCATTTGATTATAGGGACATCCAATTAATTTAAACCATTTCCATAAATCAAGAGTAGAACACATACTTGAATCATCATCAAGCTGCAAAACATGATTATTATTGTTGTCATTTTTTCATTTTGTCACACAAATTCACTTATGTTCAGTCCTCTTGAACAGGCAATTTTACTACTAACAAGAATTCCTTTTGAGATTTCAAAGCAAAAAGTCATCACCAGCGATTTTTGAGAAGAAATTCTTGGATATAATCCGCTTCATCATGATAAATGTACAATAATAAGATTTGAACCTGCAAGGTATGTAATATACAGCAAAGCCTTTTGTCATCTTAGAATCTTGATGCTCACAAAAATTTCCTCTCTGAGATCAGTTTATATACTGTAACTCCTTGTTTGTCCCTCTATGACCTTTAATTTGGGGTAAATTGCTATAATGTCACACCATTCCATGGGCATTAAAAAAAGGTATCTCTGCAATCAATTGTAAGAAAGTGCTAGTGCTATTACTGGGCTTGTAAATAAAACCAATCCATAGGTACTATTAGGCATATAAGTTAAGTTTTCTGTGACATATCCACAACTTTACAATGGGGAAGTGTAAGAGTAATTTAACTTTGAGGAAGGGCATTTCCTCATACATATACATAACTGAAGAATGGCATCTCCATATTCTGAGACCAATTCAAGTTCTGTAGTTATGACCTCATTTGGACAAGGTTTCAACATGCACTCTTTTAAGTAAATGCTTTGACTAAATGGATTTACCGAGCAGCAAAGAATTTCTTCAATAAATTCAATGATTTAAGCTGGATGAATGAATTTTTCAAGAGGATTATTCAGTATTTTTAGATGTTACCTAAGTGTAAAGATTCAGAGGTTTCAGCAAAACAACCTTCTCTAAATCCAACCTACGTTTTGCAAGAGTTGCGCTATTAGCAACTACAGTGCTCTATGTTTCATGTCTAGTTTTCTAGTTTTTCCTGTCACAAGGCTATTTATCAAAGGGTACCAAGTTTCTAGGAAAAAAGCATGGTAATGTTCCAAACCAGATTGGCACTTACAATGGATATATGTAAGCAAATACACAAGTTCAAGGTTATCAGACTGACTTAAATTACTATGCTGCTGGATCAAACCAGTAAGATTGTTTACAAATTAAATTACCAAAACCTAATGCATTTAGTTTGTGCAGATGACTTAAAACAAAGATTCTTTGGGATTTTGCTTAATTTGGTGAGAAGAAACATCTGTTTGCTCTTTGTTGTTTGCTCAACTTCCTGAACAAAATTAAAAACGGCTGCTAAGAATGAAAGAGTAAAGTTTGTGAAAAATGATATCATTTTCTTTCCATGTGTATAGTGACATGGCATGGTTTAAATTTGCAACAGACCTTTACCATAGTAAACACATCTTAAAATACTTCACCAAGAAATCAAGGTCTTAACAAGAAATACCATTAACATGGCTCTCAAAAGATTTGATCGCTTTATTTACTCAGTTGCTTCAACAATATTTGCAAAATAAACTATGTCCTTTAAACATAAAAGATGGTTTATGAAAGAAGTTCAAAGCCTCTGAGCACTACCACATACTGAAAGTCTAACAGGCACACTAACTACCACAAATTGTGTGCATATATCATCTTTATGTCTCTCATAGACACATTCATGAATATAAGTGCCCTCATTTTCTCATTGTCTACGTTCTCATAATCCCCCTGTATTTACATCTACATGTAAAGTCTTGCCTGTTTGCATTAACAAATGAGCAATGCATACTTTATATCCATGGATCCAGTAGACCCTAGCTACTTATCAATTTAGGAAGCATTTATCACGGCAGACAACTCACCTAATATAAATCATAGAACAATTACCTCTTCTGTTAAAAAAATAATGAAATACTGCCCCAGCGGAAAATTTCCTGTATGAGCTAAATGTTTTGTAAAATTAGCGCCGAGCGGTTGTAGCCCTGTTTGCCTTATCCTATTACAGGGTGGATTAACTTCTGGAATAATTTCTTCATTCCTCTAGTAAGAGTTAAAAGAAGCAACATGTTCCTTCTTACTTATATGAATCGCATGACGCTGCTTTAACAATTCATACAGATGATATTTGTCATAAGAGTTGAACTTTTATCGACACGAGATAATTCTTAAAAGAGGTTTTCACGAATTGACAACTAAATCAACTTAAAATAAGCATCGCGGAAAACACTCATGAAAACATTTACATAAAAAAGGAGAACAAGAAAAAATAACGAACTCTACCTCACAAGGTGTTTTTCCGTCGATCTATTCAAGTGTCTCACCGTGCGCAGTACTTTAGTGTGCATCTCTGCATGACACCCTTGCTAACATCACAAAAGACAAAGTGCGCTTTCTCAGAAGGTGGAATGATTTTGCAGCAATACTACAGTAAAATTTACATAAAAAACGCCAGCATATCAAATCTCTTCGTAAAGTAATCAAGCATAAAACCACAATGTTTAAAATCACATGATAAACTCGATATAATAGCCGAAAAATCTCGATTTTGACTCATAAACAAGGAAAGAAATCCGTTTTGATACCAATGGCTTCGAACCGGCTAACATGAAGACTAGATTTGTTTACAACAGCGAACGTTGTGACATAAAAAAAAAATGCGTAGTGTTATAAATATACAACGCATTGAGTATTTAATCGCAAGGTTTGGTTAACCAATGCTATTGGATCCTTCAACATTTGGTTTCCTTGATATACAGCTAAACGAGAAAGGAAATGTTAGAATTCCCGAATGGGCCATCTTCCGTTAGAAGGCGTGATTCCGACGTGATAACGAACTACTATCTGCAAACGTAATTAAGGCTTTATCTGCACTTCACAAAGCTTTATACTCTAGAAATACATCAGTGAGAATTAAAGATGAAACCGGACGCTGAGAATCTTATAGAATTGCGTGATTCATTAATTAGCTGTGTCTAAGGCAGCTTACATCTGTATGGCTAATATAATTTTCTAAATTCAAACGAACGTTTGGGCAAACAATAGCACCACCTTCCGTTGAATACGACTGCAAAATTGAAATTTCCGCCTGCTTCAAAAACATCATAAGATTGTAATAAATGAGTTTAATTTTTCAAACAGAGAAGAGAATATAAAGTGGAAAAAAATATGTGCATGATTGTTCTTATCGTTAGTTCAATCAGAGAGAAGGACCTGAAAGCGCCGACGAGTCTCTGCGGAGTCAATTTTCGCAGTAGCATTTCTAGCAAGCAAAGTTTAAAATAAGCTTAAAGATAAGCCTTCGGAAAAGCTTTGAATGAAGCACTAATGTGATACATTTTTTACTACACGGACACCCGAACGAATACTCAAACAATATAGTTCAATATAACCTGCCGGCTGTGTTTAGTTCCCTACGTAAAGTTGTGGTGGGGAGCCGCGGGCAAGGTAAGGAATATAAACTGAACTCTACGTTGTTAGACCGTTCCTTCGACCGCACTAGGTATCAAAACACCAAAATCACGTGTTAAGAGACGGAAGAATTCCACGCTTAAAGAGTCACACTAACGCTACGATCAAACTCACGCAGAATCCTGCCAAATTAAACACGACACCCGCAATAATAACCAAATGTTTTCCCACAAACCTTTCAGGCAGATCTTGTCAAGCGAGGCTTTATCCATTCTCTTTCCTTTCCAAAGCGTGCCTTAATTCCTGACCTTTAGTTACCTTCACACGTCTTGATAATAATCTTTTGTTTCGGAGAAAATAACTCGAAATCACCGTTCCTGATCGCCACACCGCAGCACACAGGATGTGACAAGACGTACTTCAACTGCCAAAACTACTCCAACGGAAGAGCATTGTGGCTTCATGACGTCACAAGCCTCTTTGAAATGCATTTCCTTTACATCTTCCCGCCTCTCTTTGTATTCAAATAACTTTCTTCCGCGCTTCTTTACTATTCAAGGCATTGTTCGCTTGCAAAAGAAAGCCTCAAATTCTTTTGATTAATTAACTCTAAGTTCGTTTACTATTAGACACTTGTGCAACATAGTGGTGCTTTCCGTGAACAATTCACGGGATGGGCGTATGGAACGAGCGGAGTATTATCGTTTCGTGTTTTTACAATTTCCTCTATTTTCACCGCTTTCAGTCTCTCCCAGATGAAGAGTTACGAAAAGCTGGTTATCTGAGTAAGTTTTGACGACTTTCACAGACCTAACTTAAGATAAGAACCCATATGTTCAGAGATGCCGAAAACTAGTTACGAAAAAGCCCTTAAACTGACATCTCACTTAGCGACGCCGAAAGTATGTTACAAATAACGTTTTCGTGCACATTCCCAGTTAGCCTTTGCAGTTAAATGTCTTGGCTAAATTGCCATAACTTGATAATTTCCTTTATTTTTCTTATAAAGGATAAACATCTCATGGTCATAAAGCGATTATGCTGAACTTTATAATTCTCTTAATCTTTCTTTATGGCTCTGAAACGAACTGATGAGTAAATCTCGATTAACATGAACTGCGGGTGTCAGGTTTTTTTTTATCCTTCTCGAATTCTCTTTATTTCATTTATCTACAAGGGAAGCGGCAGAAAACGATGAGGATCGTGATGTCCAAAAAGAAACTTCTGTAAATGTCAGGGTGGTCTCCTCGCAGGTGTCGACATATCAAATACGAAAAAAGCTGCTTACATACTTCCGCAAGATACTGACATACCCGAAATCTAGTGTGCTGGCCTGGGGTCTGACAATCATCGCAGTCTCATCCTACATAACGACAGACAACAAAAGATCGTTGTGAATATGAAAGCGATCTTCGCAGAAATGAACACTACTTAAGCAGTAGTGAAAATAAGACCTGAAACTCGTTTTCATTACTGCTCCAGCTAAAGAGTTTCATTACTGCGAAGATCGTTTTCATATTCATTTCGTAATCCACAGTTCACAAATATGATTTCAACATGTTCATAGTCATGAAAAAGATCCTTGTGGATGTGAATAAACTGAAGGAGATCGAATTTAACCCATAAACTCCCAGTCGTGATTGACATGAACCTTCTCCCTGTAATATCCACACATTATTCAACAAATAGGTAATGAGAATACTCAAACTTATCTGGTAGAAGCTGCTATCTTGATCTAGCATCAGTTTCTCATAACTAAGTTGCAAGCAGATGTCTGGCAGTTAGAGGGGAGAATTAACGATCAGATCTTGGGAGTTGAAGGGTTAAAAAGCGCACTTTTATGAGCAAATTAGAATATGATGAATAAGGGACGGACGTGACGCAGAGAATAGTCGCCCGGAGCATGGTCGAAGAAATTATTCACCTCTTAATACTTAGTTAATTTGACTGGAGGTATTCGTTAGAATAAAACAGTTATGAAATCGAATGAGCGGACTCCTTCGCAGTATTTTTATTTGTCACGCAATACATCCGTTACAATGAACGGCTGCAAAGAAGACAATCCCCAAGGATCATGGATCCAGGTCTCTACGTCCAAGAGTGTGGCAGGGGCGGAAAATACCAGAGATTAAATTAAAAAAAGTTGCAAGTTTGATTCTATAATTCAAATGAATACACTGATATATTGAGCGGAAGCTGCGGAGCGAGATGAATATAGAAGAACAAAGTATTCATATTCTATAAGACTTTCTCTGGCCGTTACCGTAACAACAAATAGTTAACTTATTCGTTTCATGAGCAGAGTGTTTATCTCGATTATTCTGTGCATGATGTACCTCATTTAAAGAACCCCTTCTCCTTAACAATCAAAACAATCAAAAGTTATTCACGCCCCCCCTTACGCTGTCACCCCTCCTCCCTGTTAGCTCCTCCCCCAATGTTGGATTGGAAGAACAAGTTCCTGAATAAGTTCTTACGACAGTAATTTCACGAGAATCATTGCAGTTGTAGTTTATTCCTCAAGTGTTGTAGGCTACCTTAACTATCTAGCAACAACTCTTAATCATCGTCATCACTTAAAAAATAAGATTTGGCTTAATTTTCTTAAAATAACAGGCCCTCGATGTGAACCTTGCTATCTGGACCACAGGAGTTGGTAACGAGATACTGTGAATTGAAGAGGGCATTCAGCACTGGAACTTGAGAGCAGTCAAGCAAATGTGATCAGTTGTTATAAACCAATCAGAAGGTTGGGAATGACCTAAGACGTGATTGTGAATCTTGTAAAGTCACCTCAGAGGTTATGGGAAACTCTCGAACATGACAATACCATGGGAAATGATGTAGGTTTGGAAACCTGATCAATGGCTTAGGGAGGTAACTACTACTAGACTTTGACCTTCCAGTTTATTTTGAAACGTGCAAACAACTCCATATATTTAGCCCATCTTTTATAAATTAGATTTCAAAAAAGATTATCCAAGGTTTGTTCTCTGTGGAAAATATACTATATACTCCATAAGTAAACCATCTTGCCAAATTGACGAAGGGCTGACGCTCGAAACTTTAAACTCTTTATGGTGGCCAATTTACGTTTTCAACTCAGTTGTCAACACTAAATTACAGCTTGCCACTGTCGATGCTCTGTGTCACTGGTCAGATGTAACAAACATTAACAAAAAATTATAGAATATTTTGACGAAGCTCTACGCCTGTCGCTTCCATTACTGCAACTGTTATGCACCCTTCGTGCATTTGTTCAATATTTTAAATAAGTTCAAAATTTTTTGTTTTGCGCCGTGTTTGGCTTTTGGTCCTTTGTAAGTCTCTTCTCTTAGCACTTGTACTTAATCTCAGGTTCTTCCTTTTTTTTAAGCCTCTACTAATAACGATTAGGGAGATATTTATTGACCAGTTTCTATTCTCTTGTGTTGACCAATCTTCAATTGGTTATAGCAATAAAAAAATTATCAGGGAATCTTTGACCATCGTGATGTCATTATGGGCTTGGGGTTGCGTGTGTTGTCCATTTAGCTGTTCAATTTACAGTTTTTCTTTTGTTTTGTTGAAAACAACTGACCATCCACTATCACTCACACGTATGTTATGTTCTCGAGCAAGTTAGTCGACGACTTGGACAACTTCTCATCGGCGTCACAAGCCAGATGTGTGTCAAGCCACACTTCATGAAAATCATTAATGAAGAGCTGGGAACAGATTATCCTGGAGGAAAACGTCCTTGAACAAATCTTCGCCTCTCATAAGCCGTGTGCTACCAATTAAAAGCTGGAACGAAGAGAAACAGAAGTGAATCAGAATGTTGCTTCGGAAGTCCCACCAGTGACTAGAAACTCCTCAGATCAAAGCGTTCCGTAAGAATGAAAGTAGAGTAATGCTTTTCCTAAATTACCGTTCACAGTATTCAAGTATACCCTTCCGCTCTGTCTTTAGTTAGTTCCAGAACTTGTGGGTGGCCTAACATACGTCCAAGCCGTATGGACCCACTTACGCTAAAGGGGAAACTTCCCATGTTGATTACTTTGGTTTTTATTTAGGAGAACACGCAGAAAATTGGCTCTATAACAACAACGCTCTCACCTGGGTATTAGGATGATACGCAGCTAACGCTTCCCTTATCTGGTGAACCTCTGAACATGTGATTCCCCCAACGATGAACAGAACCAACAAAGGATGGTCATTAGGACGAGGCTTGCTCACATTCATGAATAAACTGAGTCAAACAATAAAACAAGAAATGGTGAATTAACGAATATAGCATGACGTGCATCTCAGGCAGGAAATAACTGACAGCAAAAACAAAATCGCCCCTTTCGTTTTACCTAAATCCTGTTTTGATAAGATCCTTAAATCCGTGTGACTTGAACTCGATGTCGGGTAGTTCAGGTGATTCAGGACTATAAATGCCTTCTGTTATCTGAAAAAGATGAAGCATTTTAGACATTCAAATAAATCAGAACAATTTCCTTTGGTTGAATCACACAAAACGCTTTAAACTCAAACTTCACAGGAAAAGCTTTGTTACTAAAACAGTGCTCTGAAAAGTGTTTCTAAAGTATAGTCTACTGAAGTGCAAATTATAATAAAGTGACTCACATGGTCACCGAGGGTTACTCCGACTCAGTTTCGTCTGCAAAAAGCGTGCCACTCCTCCACTACGTGATGTCACTCCATCACGGGTTAAACTCTACCCATACCACCCCCCTCTCCCTATATTTCCGGTGGATAAACGTACCCGTTTATAGATATTATATATATTATAGGTAGAGAGAGGCATTGTCAGGGTACCGTGTCTTGTCCAATAACATAAAAAAATGACCTTCCATGGACTCAAGCCACGAACTTTCGATTTGCAATCTAGAGCATTAATTACCAAGCAACGGCTTCTATCATAATAAAGCCGACAGTAACGTAAATTTGTTTCTGGTATTTTGATAAACTGCACAAAACAGACAGCAACCAGTTGCTATGTCTTCTTGTTGCAACTTATAAGTTATTTAGTCCAAAAACCCCATAATAGTGGCAGACAAAAAGAAAGCATCACTAACAGTAACAAGATGACAAATGCGAACAAACCTGTTTGAGGAGAGGATAATATTGAGCTGGTTTCAATGCTGTTCCTATCTGAAATACATTTCTTTCAAAAAAGAAGGAAAACACAGATTACAGGTAATCCCAAACAAGTCAAACGTAACGCTTATAATTCACACAAACCTCAACATTTTTATACATTATCCAACAATACCTGAACACTTGCAGTTCTTCTCTCGCCAAGCTAACGCCTCGAACTTTTTCAAAAGCATCCGAAATTCTGCTTCTTACGGTCTTCTCCGACAGTTCCGACCCTTTATGTCAAGAAATAAATGAAACTTCATCAGTATGAACTAAGGGGGGTTGGGTGAGGGTGTGATTGCGTTCTTTAAAAAAGAGCTGGACTGCAAATCAGAATGTAGTAAATGGGGAACATTTCTTACTTCAAATAAAAAAAGAGTTACTCTAAGCACAACGTTAACGACGTTGACATTAATTGTTTTTAAAGAGGGTCAAAATTTCTCCCACAGGTCATTCCATATCGTGAAAATCGATAAAACCATCAGTTTTGTTGCCGGATCATTTGGGCTGAGGGGTGTAGCAAAACTGGGGGAGGGGGATGGCTGAGATGTATGTGGCTCCCATTCCTCCCCCTTCTTCATCTGTATATGATGGTATAGCATCCCTCATTAAAAGTCCTCCAACACCCTTGAGACCCCTGGAGTTCCCAAAGGTTGTCACAAACCTAAGAACTGCTCACTGTTGCATTTCAGCTCTCCACTGAGTATGCTATTCACCAGCATGTTCTGTGAAAAGTATCAAAGACATAGCAAGACAAGTAATGAGGATTACCCAGCTGTGCATTAATAGCATAATCAGTGTTAACTCAACAATTTTCAATTGAATATTGAAAGCAATCTAGAACTGCATTAGCTTTGTGTTTCTTGCTCTAACACCAATTACTTGTTTATACCAATCCTATGTAATAAATTACATAATTATATATATATATATATTCTTACATAAAACTCAGCTTAGCAAACTAATAGCACACAGATTGTAACATAGATAAGTCAAAACATCAACATGTTAAATAAGAGGTTGTGCATACTTTGATTTGTTCTTCTTCCATGGGTGAGTCAAAGCAATCCTGTCCACCAGTAAGTGAGTATAGGAACACCAGGACAAGCAAAACATCTTCTACAGCTACAAATCTGTAAAAGAATATAAAACAAGTGTAAAATGATCCCCAAACTCCATGCTTGATAATATTTGCCATAAGCTACCTTATCTTCAAGGTTATAATAAAGGCCTAGCACATCTTAAAGATATCAGTGAGGCATAACCAACCAAAACCTTACAGAAAAGAAGGAAGAGTAAGTATGTTTGGGGATGAAACTACTAGAAAACTGCTTCAACTTTAGACCACTCTGTAAAATATGTTCACAATAAGTAGTTAATAGCCTTTTTTCCGCATTACCTTTGGCTTCAAATGGATGAGACATATTAAAAAACAAAAGAGGAAGAGCTTACATACACACCTCTGTCTACTGTCAGACTGTAACGCACTTATCACCTCTGATAAAGCACTTTGAGGTCCATGTTCTCCAATGTGGAGAATTAAACCCTTTAAAAATAAAAAAGAATTAATCTCTCAGAAAAAAGTAAGTGAAATGAAATTTAATAATTGTGTCTTGTGAATTGGACACTGGGCCAAATGAACTGAAACTGATAACTGTCTAGTGTCCTTTTAAATGACTGTATATTTAATACTTTGTAATGCCTTTAGAAATTCAATTTTTGAGAGATTTCATATGAGTTGTGCTGATGAAATTAAATCATGAAATGATCCTTCCTGTGATATTTCTCAACTTCCTGCAACTGAAAAAAGAGGCCAGGATTTCAGTACATGACCCTGCAATCCTAGCGCAATGCTCAATCCAACTAATTTATCCTTATTTTCATTTCACCATCACTTTAGATTTTTGGAGAACAATAACCACCCTTCAAAGGCAATATTCCCAACCAGCCACAATACTGTAAATAAGCATCAGCAAATTGTAAGGACAATCTAATGGTAGACTACTAATATCTTGACTTAACTCCATGAACAGGACTTTGAACACAATGCTTGACAAGTTCACTTTAAATTTATGAAAGGTATCTGATGAGTTTCTTGGCCAAGACAAAACACTGTGTCATACCAGCCACAAAATTTACTTTAGTATTTGACAATTTTTTCATCGTAAATGCTACAACATGGATGATGCCAGAAACTTAGGTTATTTAGTCTGTATCAACTTATTGGCATTGAGAACTGGAAGAAAAATTTATAGAAAACTTACTTTTTCTATAGCTTGCAAGTGTTCCATTTGTGAATTGTGTTCATTCTTCAATGCTGTAATTGTAGCTCTGACCAACTGCAGCAGTGCACCATGTCTTTGTAAACACTTTGGCTGACCTCTAAGAAAGGGAGAAGAGTATTTACTTGCACCAAAGAGACTCAAAGTCACCTAAAGGTAGAACAGAAATATACTGCAATCTTGAGAGTAAGTATTAAATTTATGTATAAACACAAAAGATGTAGATATACCTGAAATGTTCTGACATGGATACCAGCTGCTCTATTGTGATTTTATTCTGAACACCTTTGTTCTTTTGTATCAGTGATTCTTTAGTCAAAGCATCTTGTAACTGTCTTGACAAATCCATAAGGCTTTCCTTAGAGACAAAAATCAGGGTATATGTCAATAGCAAAAAAATATGACACATAGAAAAAAAAAACAAAGTAATACTGGTACTTATTATAAACATGAGATTTACTTCTCAAATATGGCAAAGAATGGCTTGAGTAAAGCATTGGCAAATGATCAGATAGTGCTGAGTGGTTATAAATAACTGTTAGAACTGTTAAAATATATTTTTACATACTTCATCATTTGTTTGTTGCTTCTCATGACAGTACATAACAATAAGGAAAACTTTTTTTATTTCTCTTTGCCTTGAAACAGAGAGGTCCAGGGTAGTCTGTGATACTCTGACACAGGTCCACACCCAAGGATGGGATCTCAAGTTCAAGGTGGCAGGAGGTGCACATATCAATGGAATAGAATAACTTATAATATATATCAGTGAAGTCTGAAAAAATAAAACATGTTTATCATGTGCAGGGCACCTTTAGTCTCTTGGTTATCATGGAGCAGAGAAGAGCCTGGGTAGAAGGATCTCGAGGATGTGCTAAGCAGCCTGGCGCCACAGTGTGTGGAGTTGAACTGAAAACAAGAAGAGTAGAAAGAATGACCTGTTCAGCCTTGTACCTATTGTATTTCTCAAATAAGTGTCCCATGTGATTTAGCACCATACACAGAAGCATGACTTCCAAAAATTTCTGTGCTCAAATAAATGCAACATACAAACAGGAGAATGAGGTCTTTCCTTGAAGATTACACGCAGGAGCTATCATGCTTGTTTAAACTCAATAATCTACCCTACCCTTGAAAAATTGATATGAAAAAAGTGAGATTACTTAATTATATTTTACATGATAGCTACAAATCATTTTAAAAATTTGGCTGTCATTTCTAAAACATGATTTTGAAATAAAGGTAACAAGGCTGTGGGGCTAAATCAAGTAAATAACATGATATATTTCCCTTTAACTACTATTCATTTGCATGTTGAGCACATTTCATGTCATATCAAGATAACATCTTCCAACCGATAAGATTGAGTATTCTCCTCTACCCATTGCTGGTTAATGTATTTGTGAGGAGAGTGACATGATATCCTAACTCTAGTAGGAGTTAAAAGGTTAAGAGCTGAACCAATATGAACAAGAGGTTTCCTTTCATAAAAATGTGACCTTTATCATACCTGCCAGGAGAGCAAAGTGGTGACATATCTACAGCAACATCACTGGTGTGTTGTGGTAATCTTGGCAATGACTGGATGATCCTGTCAGCAAGTGTATCAAATGTGTGGCTTGCTGCTCCTACCAGATCAAGTGTTCTGTCGACCAAAATCAGTGATCCACGGCTGCTCAAGCTCTGACCAGTGTAAATCAAAAACAGACTGTTGTTTAATACATCAATTTCTTCTCAGACTATTACCTAAATTTAATCAAAATTCACAGACAGACCTTTTACAAAAAACAAGTACCAAGGAAAATAAAGTCCCAGACAGACATCATGCATATCATTAAGTTCAATTTAAATATAATTTTCTGTGAGCAAGGTACAGGGGAACCTTGAGTTAAGAAAATGCCAAGGGACTAGGGAAATCGGCTCATTTTATCCCAAGTCCATTATTAAATAAATACTGAAAACCTCAATTCAAGGAATTTATGGAAAAACAACCAAATTGTTTGTTATATTGAGGGATGGTTAACAGACTTTTTTTTTTTTTGGTGTGACGTTGCACTACCAGCATTTTGAGATTGGAATGATTATGGTAAATAACATTATTTTTTAATGTCTATTTGAGGCTATAGTACACGTGCACTGTACAGGTTTGTACATAGCTACAGCACCTTGTTTTTTAAGCAAAAATAGAAGAGAACAAATTTTAGTGGAAGTCACTGGAAAACAGAGAAACAAGGCTATTATGCTGGAAATTCCTGCCTCTTACACCTTTAACTACAAGAAGCCTTCAAAAATGAAGAGGTTAAATTCAACTTAATAGAACTAATAAGGGACAAAGAGCATAAAGCCGATCTATAGATATATTGATAACGTCAGTGTCAGCATTTATAGTGAGCTGTTAACTGTGAAGTTGTTTTATTTTCAAAGAATTGAAGGATATTGATTCTTGTTGGTCTGTTTTGCATTTGTCCTTCAAGGTCACGTGTTAACATTTGTGGGGTATATTATACGTTTTGACTTCTGAATTGTGTTCATCATAACAAGGATTTAGTCACATCAAGCTTCATTATTTGAGGTTCTTTCCCATACATTTTACTGTAACTTTAGGTGCGCTGAAGAGTACTGTTCATTATATAGAGGTTCACTAAATCAAGGTTCTACTATACCAATTGACTTTATGCAATGGTAGAAAGGAGGATGCTAAATTTTAGACCTGAGGATAAAAACCAAAGATAATTTTTTACAGCTGATGACATTCAAATCTTAACTGTAGGTAGGTGTTTGTCACCTAAGCCAAGTTTAATTAGAGCTTCTCATTGAAAGCAATGGGACCAATTTACAAGTGATTGGCTGATGTACCTTTCTTCTTGTTCTAGCCGCTGGTAAGTTTGCAAGTTCTGTAGCTATCACTTTGCTGAGATATCCTACTCCATAACAATCCTCACTGACTTCCAATAATTCAAACAAACTGTTCAAACCAAAGGCAAACATCTGAAACAGTGAGGTGAAGGTAAGAAATAACTAAGGATAATGTACTCAAGTCACATTTATCATTGATGGAGTGGTTGGGGTTTATCATTAGGACCTCCATATTACTCACTTACTGGATGAAGGTTACAAAATGAAATCCCATAAACTTTGATATTTTCTTTCTTTGCAGGTTTAAAGTCCCCAACAGCATTTATCTTTTATATGAAAGATGACCACAACCAAACAGATTCATTAGAGAAGTGTTGAATTTTTTTTTGAAAGTTTTACAGAAAGGGAAATTTTCACAAAGGAAACCATTGTCTAACTGACTCAACAAAGTAGAAGTTGCGCCCTGTTCCATGTTATTTTCAGATTCCTGATTATTGTCCTGCCTAATCTTAGCATTTGTGGGCATATTGCCCTTTCAATTCAAAATGCTGCAAAGACATTCATTACCTACCTTGACTTTCAATTGCAGATTATGAGGAAGAGAAGTCACCTCAAAGTCATTCAGGCTGTTAAATACTCTTTTGTCACCCTGTTAATTTCAGACAGTTTAGATAAGTTTCCAACATGTCACACACACAGTACTTAAACAAACAGCAAAACATACATTTAATTAAAACAAAATATAGAATACTGTGTAAGATTTGTAGTTTGTCTAATACTGGTACAGGGTAAATATCTCAAGGACCATACAGCCCCATCTTCTGTTGTAGAAGAGTAGTTAAATTTAAACTGAATTCTTGATAACTCAGTCTCCAATAGAAGGGGTATTTAGATAAAAATCATACCGTACTCCTGAGAAACTTTTGTAGTCTTGGTACGTCTGATGGCAGTAGAGGAAAAAAGGTTGAAAACACAGGAGTAATAAAAAGACCAGGACAAACCACAGCAGGAAACAGGGGCAAGTAGTGGACATCTACAGTGGCATACTGTTGTAAACAAATAGAAGTTTCTTAATATGTGGCTATTAACAAACCTGAATTTTTTGCATATTTTTATTACATATAAAAATCAGTGAAGCAAAAACCAAACAATTTTTTTTTAATTAATGAGGGTGGAAAAGGGTTCATGCATGAATTTTACAGAAAGGTGAGTAAGAACATGAACTGCAAATTTGTCTGCCAGTTTGTGAAAACTACACTTTATTAACCTCAGAAACCCTGCACACAAAAGGAGTAATTTGAAGTTTTCCCTTTTACACATATGATACATGAATTTTTCATACAAACCATGCACCTTTGCACCATCATCAATGTGTATAACAATATATTAAATGAAAAAAATTATGCTCTTCTGATCTGCTGAAACAAGAGCATTTTTTATGTAACACAAGTGCAAAGTTGTAATATGAGTGCAAGGTTGTAAAGCAAGTACAAATTACAATAGCATGCACTGTTAGAATTTTGTCTCTCTTGACTTTCTGTGTTGCTTTTGTCATGTCATTTGAGTGCAATTTGGTGTAAGTAAGCTCTTATAGATTTTTCAAAGACTATAAATTACTCTCGCCCTTGAAATCATGTTATTACTTATACCAGGCTGCAAGCAAGAGAAAAACAAGGAAAAATTAAGCAATTTTTTCCACATTTTCAACCCTATCCTTCCAATTACTTAAACCTACCATGTTCCCCATCCACTCTCTAAGTTTCTGTGATATTTCTCCAAATGGTGATATTTCTCCTATTTCAACATGTCTTGCAAAACAATGCACATTTTCAGGCACTGTGCAAAGGATTGTGCAGTGCTGAAAATCGCTTGATTCTACAATGGCATGAATCAAGTCCAGAGTCTCACTTTGAAGAAGAGTACCAATCACAAACACAGCTTTTGTTTCTGATTCATTTCCACCCTGAAAATAACAGGGAGAAAGGTGATTAATTTATTAACTCTTTAATTCTCATGAGTGAACAAAAGCTGACAAGTAATGAGGATAAAGAAAACTAACAACTGGGGGATTATTTGTTAATTCAAAACCAACATCATAAGAGTTGTATGGCAGACAGGAAAGAGAATTACTAATGAGATCTTTAGAAAAAAAGGTTAACGGAATATTTAGCAACAATAAGGTGAATGGAAACAAAATAGGTTAATAGGAGCAAGAGTTACGATAAACTGAAATTGATAAATTTGCCTGAAATTGGTGCATGATATATAGGTAATTAAAAAACCTACCATTTGATCAGAAATGAAGGGCCATAATTTCAAAATCTTTTCAATCGTTATCTCACATAAAAGCACAAAGTGGTTTAAACGGGCCAAGGAGAAATTACAAAACGGAAACTTGTTGGCAAGTGTAAGATTTCCATTAAAACAATTAAAGATGCTAGTATTGTTGACTTGCTAGCAAGATGAAGACAATCAAAAAAGTAATTTATGTATCGGTATCTCTTCGTTCTGAAGCTTAAGTAGTCCATAAAATTAAAATAATAAACACGCACGATCTCCGAAAATCTTTCACTCGTAATATCTCCTGTTATAACTCAATAAGCTAATGATCTTAATTGTTTCCTTTCTGGCCTTTCAATTAAGAATTTAAAAGTTAAAACAAGATATCTGTGAAAATCAAGACCAGTACTCACTCTTCCAGAAGAAATGTCGCAGACATTAAGCGCTCCTGCATCAATCAGATCTTGTAGATTACCACACCAGTGAGTCCATTCAGCTGTTCTACTATCAAGATAAACCAAGGCATTGTTGACAACAGTCAAAAGTTTTTGCCAGACTGATGTTATTCCACGTTCAAGTGCGCTTTTGGCCGCCATGTTTTCATTATTTGTTTACACCAGTCCCTCTCGTCATGCTAACCACAATCGAGATTTCGTGTTCAGGTCTCGCTCGGTATTAATGACGCACGAAATGATGGACACTAAAACTTCCCGCTTCAATATACTGGCTTCGAGACTATTCAAAGAAGATGCTGGAAAAATTTTGATCGTGGGTGGCGATTTTAATTGTTCGCTGACCAAAATTAACGAGAGATTTATAGCTTCTGGCGTAAATGCAACCCAATTTTTTAAGGACTTTACTTGATATAGAGAGTCTAGACCCGATGGAATGAGTCTTCAAAAATACAAAGTCGCCTTGACTCTCACCGGTAGATGGACCTTTTGATTTGCTCACGAAGAAGACCAATCTGCTTCGAAAACTCCTAGAGTTGCTGTATTTTTCTAAATAATACCGTGAACTTTAATTAAATTCTTTCAAATCAGAAATTATTTGGTTAGGATGAAATGTTCAAAAAAGAAGACACGCCGTTTCATTTTCAGTTTTCGTTAAAAAGCTGTCGAATTTTCGGTCACAAAGGGATATTTCTATGCATGGTGGAGTAATTAAAGCAAAGGATTTAGTGATGGTTTCAAATGAGGCCTAAAGCTATCGTTTGAAAATAAGTTTCTTAGCTTTCGCTGATCCGCAGCATCATCGCCGTAGAAACTTATTTCTGAGACTGTTATAGAATTGTAACTATGAAGGTTTGTCTTGGCTTCTAGTTCTCGCATAATCCCTCACGCTAACCCTAACCCGATTAGCCCCTTGTCCTAGACCGCGAAAACAAATGGCTCGCTGATTTTACTTGGAAGGGAAAGTAACCGAAAGTAAAGTGAAAAATGTTGGTTGAGCTTTAAAAAGGAGGCTCGGAGTGTCAGAATACGAAATAATTTTGAATTTTTCACTATGTTCTTGGGCAAAGAGAATGGAAGGAATTGATTAAAACGATTAGATTACATTTACTCAGGTTTATTTCACTAGAGAAAGGAAGGTGAGAGGGTTTATTTGATTCTGTTAAGGTTTTAGACTTGGTCATGCCAGCTTGCCTGAAGGCCCTAACCTCAACCAGATCCTTAATCAATTACGCCTTAGATATGACCAACTTTTTCGATGTTTCCCAAGCTCCTCGAAATTAAATCACCTCGTATGTGGATGAGGCAATGTTAACAAAGAAAAGCCCTTTATACCTACGATATTTCCGTACTTTTAATTTTATTTTATAGAGGGCCACTGTGTCATCAGTTTTATTACTTTAGTGTGCTACTCTCTATAAATTAAGTTTTCTCTAATTTACTGTATCAGTATAAATTTGTGGAGTGTCAGATGATTAATTTTGGCTTTGCCTCGATTAACTCGGAAAGGTCGGCGATCCAAGCTCTGAACATTGTTTTCTGTTAATATTCTTGGTATGCTCTCAATCATTGGCTATGGGTGCGTTGGTTGCGGAGAGATGTCCTAATAAGAATGACATCATATTCATTTCCGTCCCTTTTGCTGTGAGCGGCCTTGGGGCGAGTCGGGAATATTTAGGTGGTCAGTAAGAAACGTTTTTCTTCGCAAAAAAATGCAGAGCATTTCAATCAAAATAAGAAGCACGTAAGTTCCATTCGTTACGAGAAGAGCACGCAACCAGAAGGTCTTCTTCTTTGCCCGTGGATTGTGACACTCGAGCTCGAGTGGGATAATTCTGCGCTGATCATCTTCTCCTGTTGTTGAGCAATGAAATTTGGGGAGAATTTCGAAACGATAGAGCAACAGAGTTTGTAAGATAATAAACAATACCCCTGTGACAAGCCTTATGGAAAGTTGATAACAGTAAGCAAGAAAAAGCTTGCGTCCCATTCTTTCTTTTTCGTCGTTACGTGACTGTCTCCCTTCATCGTCGTGTGACTGTTTGCTGTTCTGTAATTGATCGACTATAGGACTCGCTATCTGGGCGTAAACTGCACAAACAAACCCCACAAGGAAGCAATGTACAATCACGAAGCCATAGATAGGGACACTATATTCGTTATACCGCCTCTCGTACAGCTCAAAACACTTTCCCCGGTAAAGTTCGCTGTTGTCGATGTCGTCGCTGCGTTCTGGAGCCCCACTGCAGTGAAAGTCAAACCTGGATTCCCTGTGTTCGATGTCTACAAAGACACCAGAAAGGGTTACTGCGAGTCCGAACCACAAGATAACTGCTACGTAACTTAGCAGGTTTAAGGTTTTCGGTCCTAGTATTTTTTTAAGAGCTTCAGCATCCATCGCTCCCGTTTGTTCGAGTAAGATTCTTCTTCACTCATTTGTCATCTGACGATGGTCAATAAAACGTGTGGTTTTCATATCACCTCTGATGCAGGGTTTATTTAAAGACATGCTTGAATATTATTGGTCGGTAGGAAAGAGAGTTGATTCACACAGGAACCCAATGTCAGAAACCGAAACTGGAAACTGAAATGAAAAAATAAAATAAGACACTAAAATAGATACCTGTATCTGCTGCTTGGGCAGAATTTTCGTCACTTGTTTACCTATGTTATGGTGAGTCGCTGGAGAAGACGCTTTAAATTGTTATTGAATACTGAACAAGTATTATCATATCTCGCAGTTAGTACTTGAGCAACCACCCCTGGTCATAATTCTTACATGGGCAGTAAAAGCCATCACAAAACTTCCGAAAATGAGATGAATACTCATAAAAAGGGAAAACTGTCTGAGAATATCTAATGACAGTTCTGAAGGACTGTAGAATTCCAGCAACCGGGTTCCCCTGATTTCAGTACTTTGGAGGAAAAACCGCTTATCGACCTTTCGTTCGATAAGAGACGAAAAGTCAGTGGTATATTGTCTGTAATAGAGTACTGGCATTGTGAAGAAGCAATCTCGACAATTTACGTTTTGGATAGGATAGATCTTCGTTCACGGAAAGTCGATGTCAGTGCAACTAGCGCAGCGGGATTGAAATCTGATTGATGTTTTCATTCAAACTGGTCTTATATTTCCTTTCTAAATTTCTCGATTCTGATTAGCTGAGAGAAATGCAGATTTCAGGAAATATACTGAACTAAGAAGGAAATTTAGTGCAGGAAAAAGCCTTAGGTAATTTAATGCAAAAATAGTAAAAAAAAAAAAAAAAGAACAACATCAACAGGGCAATCTGATTGGTTGATAAACAAAGGCACTCACAAAGAACCAATCAAACATGAGCTCTGGATGACGCAAAGTTGCAAAGCGAGATACTTTCATGATAGATAGTATCTTCGCCAAGTTTGAGCTAAATTAGTGATTTGAACATTACCACCCCCTGCCTGGTTTTCTCGTGGATACGCTCTTGATACATTAGCATAAGACTTCAAAACCATTATGTAATGATAGTGCTACTGAAGGACATCATACAACGATGCTAGAGGAAGTCGCTGTCGCAAACGATTTCGCCTAAAGTTTGCCGGGATGTGTTTTCTGGCTTAAATAGCACAATTGACAAGGCCACTTCACTAGAGATAACGAATTATCGTTGATAAACCCCAACGGCCAAGAGAGTCGGAACAGAATTTGAAAACCTTTTTTTTTTTTTTAAGAGAACACATATATATGATTGTTTAATTCATACTCGTAGTGAAGGTATAGAACACGTCGTTTGAAGAACAAGTTTGCTACCACATTGAAGTCACATCTAAGTTTTATTGTGTCTGATTCTACAATTAAAATGGTAGAGTTATTGTAAATATACAATTTATATATATTTATTTGTCTTATCTGCAGTCCTCAAACAATAAACTGAATATAAGCTGCTGAATGAGATTCTGTGTCACATTTCGTGGCATGTTTTTCCATTTTTCGCGATCTCTTCACCCGACGTCCTTTGTTTTCTTTCTCGACAAACATAACGTGAACGGAATCGTCAAATTTGATAGCCTTGTCTTTCTTAGAATAAACAGAGCGAATCTTGGCAACCGTATTTTCTAACTCGTTTTCAATGTGGAATAGATCTCTGTTTGTGAACCCGTAAATCAACTGCCACTCCTGGTTGATTCTTTTCAGTACCTCGGGATCAATGAGCGGTCCCTTTGCACGTCTCTCTTTTCTTTTCTCGCGCAGCATTTGTCGCCGTTTCTTCCACAGTTCATGACCGTCACCTTCAGTAGCCTCCTTAACAGTGCTCGCTGAGCTCGCTGGGAGCCTATTGACTTGTGTGACAGGGCGTTTAGCGGCTGATTGCATTCTTTCTTGCGTGACACGATGGACGTAAAGAGGGGTAACGGGACCAGGTGAGAAATCCAAACGGGCGCCATTCTTCTCAACTTTGTCATTTCGAAGCCAAACATAACTTTTTGTGTGTACTGCTACCAGTGACAATGCCAGAAGACTTCCAAAAACAGTAAATATTGTAGGAAACAGGAAATCTGGAAAAAAAATACCAAAGAACCTATTTATTTATGCATGATCACAAGTAAAATTAGGAGCAAATATATCTTCGTTGTGAAAAAAATTTAGTAAAGATAAACTTGATGAAAACCGAAACTATAGAGCAACAGCCTCGATTGCTTTTCTTTTTAAATTTGTTTGTTTGTTGTTTTTTTCTTTTTTTCAGCAAAGCCTGTTCTCAGTGTTATACATGCTAGTGTTCTTGGCATAATCGTTCACCATTGACAGAAACAAACGCGAAGCGCGTGGGCCATAAATTAATTGGAGTGAAAAAAGCGACGTTCCTCAACTTATAGTGCGGACTGAGAAAACAAGGTAAGTAAGGTATTTATTATATCTCTGGGTTCAAACAGAGGGGGAACGTTTAAATTCAAACGGGCCCCATAGTTAAATAAAACCCGCTAAATTGACTAATCATTGCGCACGTATTAAGATATGAAAACGATTTCTATATCTATTTAGGTTTTTCTTACCACTGGCTGTTGTCAGATGCGTCAGATACCTAGCGTGACTGGGTAGGGAGTGGCTGAACTTAGCACTCCGCTCTCCAGTGGGACTTGCCGTTGCCAACAAAAAACAGATTAAAACGATCGTAACTTTCATCCCTCCTGTGGTAAAAAAAAACTCGCTCCTTTGAGTACAAACTTCCAGCGAATGAGCAATGAAAGATCTGATCATTTCTACTTTTAATCACAAATGTACTGTTCGTTTCCTCACCTTGTATAGGGCAAAAAAATCCTTGTCAACCAATATTCGAAGCAACAACTCTAGTAACCTCTAAAAGCTGATTATTTTTCTTCGGTCAAACGTGCAACACGTCTCTTCTCTGCAAACGATGCTTTCCAATTGATGATCCGGTTTTCCTTTATGACGAGTCATTCCTGAATGTGACGTTTATCTTAATGTCGCGCGCGTCAATTTTGTCGCGCGCGCTAAGAGAACGAATTGACAACTGGGAAAGGAAGTACTGTAGAATCGAACCCTAGAATCTTTTTCAGGAGGGCCTTAATTCATTTATTGGTGTATCCAGACCTTAATGTCTTAAAAACAGAGATAGCTGCCAGTTACGTCATGTTTCTGGCTTACAACATATCTGGGGGAATAGGTGCGAGAAAGATAGATACGAAAATCAAGAGGGAACCGCGGTATTGTTAGGGGTCTATTTGGCTGAGTAAAATACTAAGTATACTCCAGAGTAAAATTAATAACGTCTTAAAATTAACAGCGTCTTTAACTTTAACAAACGTTTACAAACTTAACGACTCTGTTTAAAGTACAGACGTCATAAGCTGTAAATCGCAATAAAAACTTATGAAATCGCCAAAAAATTTAAGTTCTTACTGATATTAGAGACTTCTTAAATGCTATGATGGCATGATAAATGAAAATAATAATAATAATAATAATAATAACATAACCTCTATGGCGCCGATACATTGCTGTTCTAAGCACTTTACACCCCTTTTCAAGATTTAGAATTTAGTACCAAAAAATTTAGTACCAAAATCTAACTGCTAGTAACCGCTTCTACATCTATCACCAAGACGCGTCAAAAATTAAATATAATGACATCTATTTTGAAATCACTGGTGATCCTTGGAATATGATTGGCTCTCATCGGTGTGATTTAGTCTCGAATCGCACCGTTTTTTGCCTGAATCGGATCTTTTTCCCAGCCAATAAAGAAGACTTAGTTTAACAAAACGACCAATCAGATTTCAAGGCTTGTTACGACGTCGTTAACCAACTTAACGACGTCAATAAAATTAATGACGTCTCAAAACTAACGACGTCTTAAAATTAATGACATTAATCTTATGATGTAAAAAAACTTTACAACGTTATTAACAGAGAAAGGCTAGTCAGGTGCTCACTCATAGGACAGAAATTACATATCTGAGCCTGCGCAACCGTAGAACAAAGCAAATCACAAGAAGCTTCTCACGAAGTTAATTTATTTCAAATGATTCCTACAGAGCCTGAAATAATGTTGCAGTTTCGAAAGATCATGAAAAGCTTGGTAAGTCAGTCAACGTGACACCTGACTGCTGTATCACATGGTTGGCAGCATAGTGACCGCAGCGGACACATTCATCAATTGGCTTTCCTTGGGCGAGCTGGCTAAGAAAACCTGCAAGAAAATCTTGCTTTGAAATTCTTAATTCTTCATAAATAGAGAAGTTCTGTAATCGTTGTACAGAACAATCAGTTTACACATTGACATAAATTCTCTTGTAAAGCTATCTCTCGAAAAGCCAGGTTTCAAAGTTAGTTGCGTAGGTTTATCTAACTTTATTAAATTTAAATCCATAACAAAGCAAAACAAAAGTAAATCGACCCTAAATTTTGAAAGTCAGAAAACGTATGAAAAATTGAATTAGAAGCTTAAAACTTTAGTTAAGGTTTAGGCTTCTTTCCAAAGTTGAATAGTACTAAAATGCAAAGCCCTTTATCAAATGGGTGTGAGCAAGCATTACACATGGAAATGATGGACAGAGGACAGAATTTTTCATTCTAGTAAACAAGGGGCCAGAGCTGAAGAAAGAATGAACATGGAGCTCAGCTGAAGTTTTGATATATAGTAGCTAAACGTTCGTCTTTTGCGCAGTCGTTGTTTTGTTTAGTTAACATAACTCGTTCCCAGTGCTCTCCCCCTTGCGTAGCCAGACTAAACAACGGCGGTAAAGAGGACTAACTACGTCTAAGCGATCTCACCTCCTACAAAGGCGTCACCAGCTCCGTTTGTATCTACGATATCTTCCTCTTTGATCACTATCACTGGGTATTCTGTGACTTTACCATCTGAAACCAGGTCAAAGGAAGGTTAACCAGTCGACAAACCGCAGTTTTGGGTATCTTAGAAAGTTTGACGCGTTATTTGCATTCCGCGTCAATCTTCTACATTTCTTTCTTTTTTTTTTTTTTTAGCATTTTGCCAGCCTGAGGCAAATTCCTGGAAGGGCTGCTAAAGCTTGTATGTTCTCCTTCAATATGGGGGTTTTAAAAGTTTTGAAAATTCTATGATAAAAATATCAGCTAAAGAAAGAAAATGGAATGGTTAGGGAGCCAGAACCTGCTTTTCTATTCTTTAAACTTTGATTTAAAAAAATTGGCTTCGCGCCCGTTCAGTTACCGAGACTTTCGAGAAACGGCGACGATATTTCAATAACCGCGGAGATCAAGGGACTAAGGCAAATGAACCCTAGTCCTTCTCAGTCGTATTTCCACGTGGCTTGAGCGAGGTATTCTTTGACAATTTGAAAAACTACGGGATTGTGACCTACACAGTCTACATTGCTTTAGCTTTGGGAAACAACACTAACTTAGTACAAGTAACTAGAAGCCAACGATCTCGGATTACTCCTACTCTGAAAATAGAGCGCGGCCAATCAGAAGAAAGGAAATTATTTACTGGAGTGGGAAAGCGCGGGCAACCAAGTTGTGATTAATTTACAAATTAATAAAGGGAGTAAATTTCTAAAGAAACCGCGCTGCTGCGTCGGTGGAGGAGTATAACTAGATAATTTGTATTAAAAACTGAGTTGATAACGTGTACTGGCCACCGTAAAAAGTTTCTAAAGCTGAACGTCACCCCTCCATCAGAGCACAGGGCCAAAGCTCGAAACGTCAACTTTGGAAACTATTGACTGTGGCCAATCTACATCATCAGCTCATTTGTTAAACCAAATTATCGTGATTAATTTAGGTTTGCATCTGATTGGTTGAGAAAGTGGCGCGAGTTTTATGGACCAATCACAGAGTTCTACTTGCTATTGTTTATGTACACTGGTAAGTAAAATTTTGAGATTTGGACGGTGCGTTACATAGTATGTTCGTACCTCTAACAACGAGAGTCGGTTCCTTTCCGTGGGTTATCACCACGATTCGCGGGCGGTCTTTGTTAACTTTCTCAAGTGCTGCTATTTTAATCGCAATTTCTTTCAAGTCTTCTGTCTGTTGATAACACAAGAAATGATCATTGTTTGACCTGTGCGCAGTTTAGGCCAGGTTTTCAGATAGAAAGGTGTGGGCAATTTGAGGTGAGGCACACGCCAAAAAAGGAATAGAGGCAAAAACGTGCGGAAATAGGATGACTTCCCTAAACGCTCGCTCCTACAATTAGTTGTGCCAGATCTATTACATAACAAACGTAATCCAAGTTTCCCTCCCAACTGATCGCAAGATAGGACTACAGAGCCTAAGAAATCTCCATCGCCTCCATTGATCGTGTCGGACCCCTGTCGCTGAAGATCAATTTCTGTTAAACTATCAATCCATTCTCAGGATAGTCTGCACAAAAGCGTCCTATTGGATCGCACTAGCAAGGTATGCACCAATTCCTAATCCTTTGCAGCCTGAAACTTACTTGGAGGAAAGTATTGTCAGTGGTGGTGAAAAAGAGTGACACATACGTTAAAAACACTTTCGCACTTACTCCAAGTTCTTGCTCTTTGGCGAAAATACCAGCTTCCTGTAAGAGGAAGAAAGTTAAATTTCAGAAAAAGGTTCATTTCATGAGTTTTAGTTGCGAAATACATTTTTTCCAAAGGTAGGAAAATGCCAGATAATTTGTCATACTCGTTTTCTTCGTTAACACTTAAATCTCAGATTACAACCGGGTACACAAAGAATAGCAACAGGAAAACAAAGTGTAAGGATGAAAGGAGATGACAGGCATACTCTAAGAAAAAGAAATCCGAGTGCTCCAAACAGGAGTCGAAGCTATGACCTTCCGATTTGTACTTCGGATGCTGCACCACTGAGCGATAGGAGAATCGTTGCAGGCTAGGCCGTTCAACTAGGGATCCATGGTGAAAAACTTCAACATGATGCTAGGATAGGAATGTCGATATGCGATGCTAATGCGCAATGATTATGCAAATGAAGATGGTGAATTTTATGCCTAGTGTGAAGTGAAAGAAAATGTCATTCAGTGAACAGCACTGGCATACTCGAAGAAAAAATAACTCCGATTGTTACCAATAAGAGTGTAACGATGGTTTCCACCGGGTCCACGGCGATTAAGTCAACATGTAACTCGAAGTTTCTCGTGAGGAAATTCCAGGAAAAGGCAAAATAGCTTAAATTTGTATTTTTATATGTATGGACACACGAAGATCGTTTAGAAATTGGAGTAAAAGCCCGAAGAACATGTTCAATTTGGTAGTACTTCGCAGCCCTTACAACAAAAAGGATCTCTTTTCTATTATTGAACGAAAAAGGCTGGTTAAGGGGTCCAAGGACTTAATGCACTTACTGTCTCATTTCCAAACAGAATGTCTACATATGGTAGTGCGTCCATCATTGGTTTTTTGAAGACCTGACATAAGAATGGTGCGGACAGGTTCATTGTGAAGATCTACAATTCAGAGAAAATAAAATTAGTTCTTAACTCACAAATAAATGATCACATGTAGGTCACCATTTCGGATGACAAAAAATAACGGATGTTCCTCACAGGTGAACTGAAATTGGAAAAAATGCACAACATGATTAAGCCTGAAAATTTTACGCTCTGGAGGAGTTCAATTCTATGGCACCCAGATAATGGTTACCAAACCACATCTTGGGTTCAAAGCACAATTAACCCATTAACTCCCAAGATCTCACTAGTAATTCTCCTTACTGTCTGCCACACAGTTCTTGTGATGTTAGTTTGGAGAATTAAGTGTTGGATCACATCATAATCCCCTCATATTTTTCTTTATTCTCATTACTTGTCTGCTTAATATCGTATTGATATTGTAAGGAGAAATTCTGTCTTGGTCACTCACAGGAATTAAAGAGTTAATTGAGTGGGTTTTTTGTTGTCTTTAACTTTTATAATAATAGGAATACCTTGTTTTTCTCAGCAGCATGTTTGCCTACAGCCACAATTGATTCTGGAGATACTGTCAAGAAAAAGCCCTGTACAGGAGTAAACAATATTAATAAGGAAATAAATCAAAGGACCAGACCTATAAACTATATCATTATGTAAACATCTTTTAGTTATTAAATTAACAAGAATAACTGCCAAAGGAAGGATTCATGGCTGTCATTACTGATGTTTGTACAAGTTGGTGAAGTATGACATGATGGAGTGTACATTGCACTGGCAAGAAAACAAAAGCAGATGGCCTGTGATCAAACAAGTGATATCCAAAATTGGACAACCTCATAGTGGGAGTCCCATTTGTTTATCGCGAGTATGATTACGGACAAAATCAGACTCCACTCAGTCTTATTGCCAGTTAATCATATAAATTAAGATTTGAAGAAGAATAGCCAAGTTATGAAAGAAAGGGGATGTTAATTTTTTGCATTTAAAGATTGTTTAATGTTGTGATTGGTTGATTTAAACTACAACTTTAAATGTGATTAGCTTATTGACTGTCCAATAACAAACTGTCTGATAACAACTTGGCAAGTGAATAAGCTGAAAAGAGGAGTTTTTTAAACTGGTCACAATTGAGGAAATTGTAATTGTCATTATTAGTCAAAATATCTTTGACCTGTATTTCTTTCTGTAGCATCAATCAATAAAATTGTTTTGAGATGAAATTTTTTTAATCTGCTCTTACAGTAATATAAATAATTTCAGCCTTCTCAACAAAAGCCCAGTTTTCTGGTTTATCCAAGTGCTCTGTTTTGCTGTAATGGTTGGCTGCAGCAAGGTTGGCAACTAGAGACCTAGAAGCAAGAGTTTCTTAATAATTTACACTTTTCTTCAGTTAACTTTTCTGATAAAAATAACTTGCATAGGTCCTCAAGTTTATTCCAGTTTAACCCTTTTAGATTAAGGAAATGATC